CAAAAAAAAAATTATAGAAACATGGTGTATGTGTTCTGACTTAAAAGGTTTTAGGAAACCTAAGGCATTGCTTGCTTTCTCAAAATGAAGTATTAGCAGCATTATATGCCCAAACTGTATAACTGTTAGGAATTATTTAAGACCTCATTGTCAAATATTTGTTTCCCTAAAAACAGGGGTGTTGCAGTGATCCTGATTCTATAAGCGATTGCTGCTTTTGTAAAAGGAAATCTTATTTTAATGGTTGCTTTCTGAGCAGGAAGCAGATGGCCTCAGCGTAATCTATTTGCTACTGACATCAAATAGTTATTTATGGAAGATTTATGTTTATATTGGTCTCTTCAAAAGTGTAAAAGGAGTCATTAAAATAGAATGATAGTCATTTAGATCTTTATCTACCCCTGTGGCTGGATGCCTGGGGACACAGGCATTAGTGTACACAGTGCCTCACCTCTAAATCACTGGTTTGAATTTAGCCCAGGATTAGAAGTGACTGAAAGTCATTAGTGGCTGATGGCTCTTCGGTGGTCTGTGTGAACTGTTATAAGATTTCTGTAAAATTTCTAGAGTATGCAGCCATGATCACAATTAACAGTTTCAGGAGAAATTCAGTGGACTGAACATGACTTGTTCACTACAGGTTTCAGGGTCCATACAGGTAATTCTACATAGCTGCAACCGGTGTGGTGCATGTCAGGCTTCAGTCTCTATGCCTACGATCTGGCCTCTGTCATGAAAAGAATGTATTTGGAAAAGGAAGAAATCTTGGACTAATATTAGTCTTGTGCATACAGAAATCGGAGGCAATTCTACAAATGTCAGTAGAGAAACACTAATGAAAAACTGGCGTGAATGAAGTCAGAGTCAGACTGCCTATGTCTCAAATACATTCAAAGAGAAAGAATTAACAAAATATCTATTTTACAAACATTAATATAATTTTGCCCATCACAAATGCGGCTGGATATAATATTGGTAGACTTAGCGTTCAAGAAAAATATAGTATGTATGAGGTAGCTACTGAATGCTTGTGTTTATAGACGTTTTATATTCAGTCACTTA